TCGATAAATAGAATAATCCTAAAAATTCTATAAATCGAACTGGGCGTTACAACAACCGTTCGGATGGGTGTTCATTTCTATCTAGGTTGTGAACCATAATTCTTGTTTCGCAAGTAACTGATAGAATGATCTTCAGTTAGCCCTGATGACGACCCACTCTATCTAAGTGCAAAACAACAGAACATAGAACTTGTTTAATCTAACACGATTCCCATTCAAAAATGGAAAAAGTGTAATATCATTCAAGGTCAAGCTTTCAGTATCTAACACTAACAAAAACAACTAATGCAAACATCTAAAAACTAACAGTTAACAACTAATCGCTAATTACCAAACACGGCCATTGAATGTTTTTATTTATGAAACCTCGGTAAATCTTCAAAATTTTTAGTAAAATTCATTTTCAAATAAGTTAAATATCTTAAGGGAAAATTTCAAAACTAGTCCCACAGGTATAGGGGGTTGACATTTTTGGTACCAACGGAATTCAAAAAATATTAATAGTCCCGCAGCTTTTGAAAAATAATCAAAAGTAGGAATTTTTTTAATTTTCCGGCCCGGAATGCCACGTGGCACACACGTGGCGGGACTATTTAAGATTTTATGGATTCTTTTGGGACCAAAAATGTCACCTCCCAAAACCTGTGGGACTAGTTTTGATTTTTTTCCTTGCCATTGTACTCAGCCACGTCAGATGAATGTGGCCACGTGGCATTCCGGGCCGGAAAATTGAAAAAAGTCCTACTTTTGATCATTTTTTAAAAGCTGCGGGACTATTAATATTTTCTTGATTCCGTTGGGACAAAAAATGTCACACCCTATACCTGTGGGACTAATTTTGAATTTTTCCCAATATCTTAAGATTTAGTAATATTTTTTGAATCTTAAACGAATAAATCAGAATTTTTTAAAAAATCTTCAAAACTCCAAATTAAGCTCACACTACAACAACCATTTAGGAAAAAATGCAAGATTAGTCAAAACCACATTTTTAACTATAGTTATACTATAATAAATGTATATTTCTTGCTTTTCACCGTGAAAAAATGTTAAAAAAAAAAACAATATGATTATATAAATTGAATCTATCACTAAAAAAGAAAAGGAATAGAAAGAAGTTTCGCTAACTTGATCCCAAATTACATTACTTATTTGGCTAATGAAATTGCTTCATTCTCCTTCCCTTATAAATACAACACAAAAACTGAGTACTCTTTCAAGTTTCAACCACAACATAGTTAAGAGAAAATGAAAATGGTGATGACAACACTAGTTGTGGTGTTGGGGCTGGTCACCAAACTAACTCCATCACACGCAATCAACGAGAAGGAAACGGTAGTGCTGAGGAATGACATCCCGAGCGAAGATGTGACTATCCATCCTTACTCCTCTGAAGACAACCTCGGAGTGCACGTGCTCCCGTATGGTGCGAATTTCACTTTTCACTTCCGCATAAATGTTTTGTCAACCACCAAATTCTTGTGCGATTTCTTCACCTCGCACGGCTCCGGGAACTATGCTGTTTTTGACACCAGATTGGGATATAAATGTTGGGGTTACTGCTTGTGGACCATCGGGGCCTATGGACTGTGCCTCCAGCAGGTCGACAATCAACTTTACTGCCAAACCTGGAAAAGACCTCCTGATAAGATGATAAAAAATGTAACCAAGTTGTAGTTATATATGTTTAAGATAGATCCATATAACAACAAATTGTTGATGGATTTTCATTTGTAATATTTCTGTGTTGCCAAATAAAGTTCTCCAAGTGGTTTATAGTTTTTTAAAGTTCTTTAAGTGGTTTATGTTTTGTTTATATATATTTTGAATTAATATATATATATATATATATATATATATATAAGTATTTTAAATGAAATAATAATACAAGTCTTTTTGGGTTCTAGTTTGCAATAAGTTTTGTTCAAAATTATGCATGCTATATAGGACCAAATTAAATATTTTTATTCCCATAAATAGCTTGTGCCTTATATAAGGTATATAAAACGTTAAAAATATTATTAACTCATGCAATATAATATAAACATACCAGGCTATAAAAATCCACCAATACTATTTGTCATAGCATAATTCATATATAAACTTACTTTTAATAATGCTTAATAGATATATTTAATTTCTTTAAATATTTTTGTATTTTTATATATATGCTGAGAGATATATAGGAAAATATTTAGGGATCAAGTTTCTTTAGTAATGCATAATCTATATTTATATTAAAAGACATACTATTTACCAAAAATAATAGCAAAAAAAATCAACTCACATTTAATGCATACTTTATTTAGAATTTTTTTACTATATGCATTATTTTCTTGCATATATACATTTTTTATTCAAATATGATCAAAAAGATTCTTTCTTTAAATAATTTTATTAACTTCTGCAATCATTTTACTGATATATATTATAATTCATATTTGTCGATAGTATTTTTTTAATTTTTATTTGAGTATATAAAAAACAATTTTTTTAAATTAATATTTTGTTTATCATTTAAGAGATAATGATCACATCATTAAATGATATTACTGATGGCTAGATAATAAATTAAAATATATTAATTATTCCTTAAAATTTTGGCATGTTATTTTTAAATAACATGCCAAAATTTTAAAAATAACATCGACGACATGTTATTTTAAAAATAACATGCCAAAATTTTAAAGAATAATTGATGTATTTTAATTTATTATCTACCCATCAGTAATATCATTTAATGATGTGATCATTATCTCTTAAATGATAAACAAAATATTAATTTAAAAAAATATTTGTTTTTTATATACTCAAATAAAAATTAAAAAAATACTATCGACAAATATGAATTATAATATATATCAGTAAAATTATTGCATAAGTTAATAAAATTATTTAAAGAAAGAATCGTTTTGATTATATTTGAATAGGAAATGTATATATGCAAGCAATTAATGCATATAGTAAAAAATTTCTAAATAAAGTATGCATTAAATGTGAGATGACTTTTTTTGCTACTATTTTTGGTAAATAGTATGTCTTTTAATATAAATATAGATACTTATTATATAAGGTATCCTATTTACCAAATTTAGTAGATTGAAAAGGCAACGTAATTAATGCATTGCTATTTCTATCCGGAATTTTATTTAATTATTTTATTTATTTGTCTTATATCTCATAAAATCAGTTTAAGAAAAAAAAATCCCATAATATCTGACAAGTCAAAAAAAAAAAGACGTAAAATCTTTACTAAAATAAAAAGACTTTATTTATTTGTCTTATTCCATATTAACACCGATTTTGTCAAAATAAATCCCATAAAATCAGTGAAGTCAAAAGGGAAAAAAAAAAATTTCCCATCTGAACTTTCGCGAAAATGGCGCATCACCATATGAACTTTATTTTTTTTGCAGACCACCCTCTAAACTACACGGGTTTGTCAATATACCCCCCACACCACCTTTAAGTTCGGTTTCACCTGTTAGAATCTGGTTTTGAACACAATATAAATAGCCCACCTCCGGTTGACGGTTGCCCTATCCCAATTTCATTTCTCTCAGAATCAGCGAACGATTCTTGTAAAATTAGGGTTTGAGCGAACGAAAATTGAAATGAGGGTTTTTTTCTTTGCCTCATAATCGAAAATCATTTCATATCTTCTGAATCGGCATACGAAATCGAGCATACAGTGAGTACGAATTTTAGGTTTAGCTCAATAATGAGTTGGAAGCTGCGGCCAAAATCGTCTCAGTCAGCAAGAGCACACTGTAAGTGTTTACCTCTCCAATCTGATACCTTTTTTCGTAACATATGAAAAATCATGCTTAGTTTCTTGTTTGATTTCTGAGGTGTTTTATCATGCTCGGTTTTTTGTTTGTTTTCTGAGGTGTTTTTTTTATTTTATAGGTGATAATGCTGAAGTTTTTACGATTGCATTCAATCATTCTGGTAAATTTGTAAGTGTGGATCGAAATGTGTATTGTGGTGGTTCTATTGATTTCATTGACAATTGTGATAAAGATTTGATGTCAATGGTTGAGATATTGTCTATGGTTAAAGAAATTGGCTTGGATAATGTGGGTAAAATATTCTGTAGCAAAAGAGGAATGGCTGATTGTTCTGATTTGTCACTACTTGAGAATGATTTGGATGCTATGAATTTGGTGCAATGGTTGGACTCTGATAGAGTTGTCAGTTTGTTTGTTGAACATGAGCCCCTCATTTGTAGTGGTTATCAGTCTGAGTTTCCAAATGTAGTTGAACCATTGCCATTTGTTGGGAACTTAGAAAGTTCTGAGGAGAGAATCAGTGAAGAAAATGCATTTGTAGGTAGTAATGAGAATGAGTCTGGTGGTTTAAGTAGAACATACCTACAAGATGTTATTGATGATAGGGAAACAGATAAAAGTGATAGTGATGTATCAGATGATCATTCAGGTGAAACTGTTAGTGACTCAGAAATTTCTGATTATGTATGTGAAAGTGATTATGATGTATCAAATGATGATGTTTTGTTTGATAGTAATATAGATGTTGAAGTTGAGTTGGGTGGTTTGAACTTGAGAGGGAAGAAAGGGTCAGAAGTCCATAGTAAGTTTTTTGTGGGTGAGGGGAAGAAAAAAACTCAGATGCATGATGGTTATCCAGTTTTTAACCCCAAGTTAGATGGAGAAGACCCTAAATTTGAGGTAGGCATGAACTTTAGTGATACACCTACCTTTAGAGAAGCTGTGAGACAACATTCTAGGAAACAAGGTAGGGATATTGTTTTCACTATTAATTAGAAAACTAAGGTTCAAGCCAAGTGCAAACAACTAAATTGTCCCTGGGTGATTTATGCCTCTAAGAAGCAGGATGAAGACACAATGGTTGTAAAAACTTTCAATGGAAAACACAGGTGTAATAGGAAACAAAAAGTTTCTCATGCTGGTAGTGATTGGCTTGCAAGAACCTACAAGGATAAACTTTGGAGTGATCCAAATTGGCCAATAGATTCTATGATGTTAGTGACACAGAAGGAGCAAAAACTTGTTATGAGCAAGAGTATGATGTACAGGGCCAAATAGAGAGTTAAAAAAAATGGGAAGTCTGGTGGATAGTGAGCAATATGCATTGCTGTGGAGGTATGCAAAAGAAATTAGGGACACTAACCCTAAAACCACAGTGAAGATCAAGTCTAACATGATTGATGGTAAACTTGTTTTTAGAAGACTTTACATTTGTTGGGGATCACTGAAATCAGGGTTCTTAGAGGGTTGCAGACCTCTTATATGTTTTGACGGTTATCATTTAAAAAGTTTTGCAGGGGGTGTGTTGCTGAGTGTTGTAGGTTTATATGCAAACAACAACATGTTTCCATTTGCATATGTTGTTGTTGAGAAAAAAACAAAAAGCAGTTGGGGATGGTTTATGGAATTTTTAGCACTTGATCTGAACATCAAGGAAGCCCACATATGGACAGTTATGTCAGATAGGCAGAAGGGGTTAGTTGATGCAGTGAACAAATTCTTCCCTGGTTCTGAACATAGGTATTGTGTCATGCATCTGTACAGTAACTTCAAGCAAAACTACAGGGGTTTGGCTCTGAAAGGTATCCTCTTCAAGGCAGCAATGTCATCAAGAGTGGTTGATCTACAGAAGGCTATGGATGAGATGAAAAGCAGAGATGACAAAGCATTTAAGTGGTTAGCTAAAGTTCCTCCATGTCATTGGTCAAGGTCTCACTTTTCAACTCATAGCAAGAGTGATATTCTTTACAATAACTACAATGAAAGTTTCAATTCCATGATTTTGAGTGCCAGAAAGAAGCCAATTCCTGAACTCCTAGAACATATCAGATTAATATTGATGAAGAGACTGCATGAGAGAAAGGATCAAATGTTAAAATATGATGTTGTTATCTGTCCAAAGATTGTTAAGATCTTGGAGGAGCTGAAAAAGAGACTTCAGATTTTTTTGCTCATTGGAATGGTGAGGATCAGTTTGAGATAGAGAATGGAATATGAACTAGGTTCAAGGTTCATTTGACAGAGAAGACTTGTACCTGTAGAAGGTGGGATTTAACTGGTATCCCATGTGTTCATGCAATAAGTGGGATTTATTACTTGGGGAAGAATCCTGAAGACTTTGTGGATAACTATTACAGTAGGAACACATTCCTAAGGTCACATTCACATATGATGAAAGCCATTAATGACTCTGAAATGTGGCCAGAGGTGGATGTGCAACCTCTTGTCCCACCAGTGATTGAGAAGATGCCATGAAGACCAAGAAAACATAACAGAAGGAAAGATCCAGATGAAGGTAAAAGAGATTCTGGGAGGCCATCACAAGGTGGAAGACCACTTACCTTAGGCAAGAAGAGAGTGAAAATGACATGTTCATACCGTGGACAAAAAAACCACAATGTCAGAGGTTGCCCTTCTAAGAAAAATGAGAACAACCAAAAGGTATTTTCATTTATGCACTTCTTTGCATTCATACTTTGATGATTTAGATATCTAATAAATTTGATTATTATATGTTTAGGAAAAGGAAAAAGATGAGCAAACAGGGGTCACAATGAACAATGAGCCAAATGGGAACTCACAAGCATCTGCCTCAGTGGGCCCTCAACAAATGGGCCATGCCTCAGTGGGTCCTCAGCAAATGGGCCCTCAGCAAATGGGCCCTGC